ATGGGCGGGGGGATGGGACAGGCGATGGGACGGGGGGCGGCGGGGATGGGACAGGGGACGGGATGGGGGACAAGCTAGAAGACAGGCCAGGGGATGGGCCTCCCAGACGCCTTGGGGAGCGGACCTGGACTTCGTTTGCCCAGAAGCGAGTCTGTAGCCGTCTGACCCAGCTCCGCGGGGGAGCTGGTCGAGGCAGCTGTGCTGTGCGTGGGTCTGCTCTTCAGATACCCGGCTGTCTCATCTCGTCGTGGCAGGGAGTCGGCGGATGGAGGCTGGGCGGGGCAGCGTCCTGCAGACGGAGAAATCCGTGTGAAGAACGTAAACACTGATTTTTAAAGAAACGGAATAATAAAAGGGAAATGCACATGGCTTACTGGGGACAAGTGTCCTGGTGCCCCAGAGGCACCTCTCCCGGTGGGCGGCCCCACGGCACAGAGCGGAGGGTCAGGGAGAAAGGCCTGCGGCCATTCTGGTCACAGAAATTACTGTCCCTCAGAACAGGGGGTTCATCCACACACGCCCCTGGGTTGCTGCCCGGCTCCCTCACGCCCTCGGAGCAGGGGCCTCTGCCGAAGCCAGTCACGGCGAATGTTCGGGTGAGGGGCGGAGGCGCAGTGACCGCAGAGATGACACACACAGAGCACTTACCGTGTGGGGCCGTGCGGGGCTCCGCTGACAAGGACCCACATCCCCCGCCCGCTCCCCGGATCCTCCTCACGCCCAAGGCCGCCGGGAGACCGCAGGGTGACAGTGCGGGCCATCAGCCCAGACGCCACGCCACAAGTTCTGCTGAGCTGACATCAGGGCCGCAGCAGGACTTAATGGGGCCCAGTGACCCCCATGCAGATGCAGCCAGTCGTCTTATGAAGAGTCACCTGACAGTTTGGAGATCTGTCCCTGGTTGTAAAGCATCGGTGCCACCTGCTTCGTGCGGGGCTGTGTTGAAGCGTCTTCGCGGAGCAGGAGGCGAAGAGAAGCTGATGGTCACAGCTCAGTCCCATCGGTCCGGCGAGGCTGGCCGGCCTCAGGGTGGCTCAGGAAATGGCCTGACAGGCCCAGAGCCCGTTAGCGTGGGTCCCTCAGGGAGCGAGCCCCATTTATGTCACACTTACTTGGCAGCTAATTTGGATTTTGGGGTGTCTCGTCCATTTGGGTAGAGTTGGGGCACAGGAGTTTGTGACCACAGAAAACTGAGTGAATAATTTATTTTGGTCATCCCAGAGTAGAGGCTCTTTAGGGGACAGGGGACAGTCTTCTGTATGACCTAGTAAGAGTCCTGGAGCCGTCCAGGGCAGCCACACAGCTGGGCCCCCGGGGCCGGGACCTGGCTCAGCAGCTAGAAGGAAGCTTACCCCCGACGTGACCCTTGTCATGGCGTCACACTCAGACTCAGGACCTACGGGCTCGGCACAGCCCTCTGGCTGCCTCTGTGCCCCAGATGCCAGGTGCCGGACTTGTCTCCTGTGGCCAGTCCTGTTGCCCCTGCCTCTCTCCCACTGGCCTCAGACTGGCTGCCGCGGCCGAGCCAGGGGCAGCCCAGCATGGTGCCCACTGGGTAATGTACCGGGAGCCACCTGGCTGCCCCTGCTCAGGAAGGGGACATGGGTCCAGCACAGCTGGCACTGCTGGTCAATCGGCAGGATCACGAGGAAGAGAATTAAAGCTCAGCTCTGGCCCCCAGCCTGACACCGAACGCGCCCCGGGTACCAGCTCCGGGCACCAGCCCCTCGTCTGCGCCCCCCACCCAGAGGGCGTGTCCCCTGAACTGGCACGATGTCACCTCAGGTTCCTTCCCACCTCAGTGGGTGTCACCTCCCCTGCAAAGAGGCTGCATAGACCACAGAGGACTTCCTTCTCAGCCGACGGCCGGGCGCCCCTGGGACCAGGCTTGTTCGGCGCGATGTCCCCTGGAGTGCTGGGGACGAAGTGCACCCCTGAGCAGCCCTCTCTGGAGATGGGGACCCAGCGTCCCCGGGAGGGCAGCGAGGACAAAGGCACCCGGCCGGGCGCGCCCGCCCCGCGCCCCTACAGGAGACAAACGCGTGCCACCCGCATGGCCCACACACAGCGCCCGCAGCAGGGCCTCGGGGCCAAGGGTCTGCATGCCTCAGACCGTCCCTCCGGGAGTAGCCGATAGCCGTCGGGGGCTGGCCAGGCTCACGGACACCCACGGAACAGGCTTCGCTCCCCCGAGACACATGCTTTCGGTGTCTCTGGGGTTTATTCCCCCCAAGAGGAAAGAGGTCCCGTTGCCTGCTCAAAATGAGGGCACGGAGTGGAACTTGCTGTTGACTCTGGCGGGGGAGGCTGCAGGGCTGTGGGGGCCATGTGAGGCCGCAGCAGGTAATAATCTCCACCGCATCCCACACAAATGGCCTTGGCCGCTGGGCTGAGCCCTGGGGGGAGGGGACGCTGGGAGCCCAGGAAACGACTGTGAAAATGAGCCCCAAATGGAATGAAAAGGAAAGGCACCATGCCAGCTGCTCTGTCAGCTGGCGGATGCTGGTTCCCATGGCAACGGGGCACAGAGGGAGCAGGCAGGCTGCCTGGCCGAGGCAGGGAGGCCCTGGCAGGAGTCACCGGGCACCCAGCACACGCCCCCGACATGGCGGCCGGGCTCCGGCGGCCCTCCCATCCTGCTCGGAGAAGGCTGCCACGGCCCTCCTGGCCGGCGCGCACGTGGGGCTTCCTCCAGGAGTGGGTGACGCGGAAGACATCGTGGTGACGCACCCCTTAAGTGTGCGGGGCAAGCTCAGAGATGTGGAAACGGGCTCCTCGTCGGCAGGCGACGGCGGAAATCGTCTGGTTGGCACCTTTTACCGGCTCCCTTTGCTGCTCTGCCGCTCGCCGTTCCACACAGGAAGCTGTCGCGAGCCACGTGGGTGGTTTTGCGGGCGTCGGGTTGCGGAAAGGGCCAGCGGGAGCCAAGACAATAATGCGGGTGGCTCTTTTTGCAAAAAGGGAATCGACTTATGGTTCCGAGTGTGCAGGCAGCACAGCCTCCGTGCAAAACGATCAGGGCACACCGATGAGGGGGGTCGCCAGCGGTGGCGGCAGCCACAGCGCCCCTGATTCAAGTCTGGACGCTGAGCTGGCTGCCCAGATGTTTTTTGTGCGTAGATGTCTAATTTTGAAAAACAGCTAAGAAATACTGCATCGTAATCTATTTTTCACTTACAATGATGTGAGCAACAAATGAATCAGATCTTAGCCCGCGCCCAGCACGCACGTCTTCCCAGACGGCCAGCGAGTCTCACCCCCAAATGCGTCCTTTTTGCCCTAGTACCTCGGCGACTATTTCGGCATCCTCTTTCAGTGCGTCCTCAGAAGGTCACCCGGTTGTCCGTCTCGTCGACCTACTATAATGGTTTAAACTAGTGCCCATTGGGGATGTTTAGCTGGCTTCTCGCTTGGTTCGGTGTTTTCGTGAGAACAGATAACACGGTGACGAACACCTCGGGGCATCAGAGCTGTTTGCTTCTCTCCGATTCTTTTCTTACGATAAATTCCCCGGAGCGGACATGGGGGCTTAAAGGATGTGCCTTTCTTTATGGCTGTTTCTACACCGTACTAAATCGCTCTCCCGGAAAATGGAACTTTGTTCACACACCGCACGAGCTTCTGCTGTTGCCCTTTGATGTGCCAGGCCCCTGCTCACCAGCCGGGGATCTCTGAAAAGGGGGTGCAGACCCCCGTCCGTCATGCTCCCCATCAGTGGGAGGCTGGAGAGCATGTTCATGTCCGAGACAGTTAAGGTCCCAGGAGGGGAGGGGGCCACGGAGCGGCCGGATCTCCCTGGGCAGCCCCCCACATCCAGCCCCAGGGACGACCGCACAGGCCAGCACGCTGTCACCAGTATCGGACGGTGGCTTTCCGTCCAGAACACCCCTGGCTCCTTTCCTGTGCTTATGCGGGATACCTGGACATTGAGGAGAAGAAGACAGAGCACATTCATCTGTCACCACGCACGTGGTGGGGGAAGTCGGAGGCGTCTCGGGGACCAGGGTGACGACGTGTGGCACAGCCACACCCTGGAGCCCCCAAGAAGGGCTTGCTTTAATGGACTCACGCTCCGTGAAGCGACCCAATGAGCTCGTGGTGCGCTGAGCGGAAAAACAAGCTGGCAAAGAATACGTTTGTACAGCTCCGTCTCTGTAAAAGCACGGGGGCTGCCTGTCCACGTGTGGCCACGCCCGGGGAATTCCGGAAGCGCGCCCCAAACCTAACAGGAAGTGTTTCCAGGATGTGAAATTCAGCGGAAGGAAGTGGGTACAGGGAGGACTTAGATTTTTTTTATTTTACTTTATTCTGTGCTGTTGTAGAAAGTGTTTTCCTTTGCGTCATTACAAAAAAAAATAGATTTTTAGAAGCTTACCCGTAATGATGGCACGTTTCCAAGAGCCCAGCATTCTCTCCAGGGGTCCAGCAGGTCCCTGGGGGTTCGGCCGTGAGCCGTCACCGGCTTTGTGGCTTCCTCTCGCGTGGCAAAGAAGGCCAGAGGGGTCTTTGGCTTGGATTTGCTTGGGGGTTTCTCGTGTGTTCGTTTTCGCTCCGAGGAGGTCCCCCTAGCCCACCGCCCACGTGAACACGAGTCTGAGGGGACAGGGCCGGGACTCATGTTTGCATTTCCCTTTCAGGACGAGCTGTCCCTGCAAGTACAGTTTTCTGGACAACAAGAAGTTAACGCCTCGCCGGGATGTCCCCACTTATCCCAAGGTGAGACGAAATTCTGCCTCTGAAGAAACGGCAGCTCCGGGTCCCCTGCCCGCGGCCTCCCTGGCCTCCTGGCCAGGCCCCTGCCGTCCGTCTGCACATTTGCAAAAGCAGCTCCCACCTCAGCCCCGAGCTGCGGAGCGGGCCTGTTTCTTAGGCAAAGCGTTTTTCTCTTTGACGTTTGTTTAGCAAAAGTGGTCCCAGACCGTAGCTTACTATGCCCGGGCTTATCGCTGAATTGTTAAGTAAAGTTTTTAAAATCTGCTTCATCAGATCGCCTGTCCCCAAACAGTACGCAGCTACTATGAGAAGTTTTACTTTTCTGTCACGAAAGATGTCTCAGTTACCAGAGACCCCTGTTAAACAGCAGCACTGGGGACCGGGCGGGGTGGGCCGGTCTTCAAACAGCTACAAGGGAAGAGGCTCAGGGTGGTGCCGCCCACCTGACGGTGCCTTCAGCTGCCAGGTGAGCAGAAGCCCTGTGACCGTCTCACGTCTAAAGCCGCAGCCTGTTTCCTGTCCCGACGGAGCCCCCCTCAGGCCTCGAGCCCCCTCAGCAAGCTGTGCTGGTCCGGCCCACAGCTAACCCGGGGACAGCGTCCCCAGAGAGAAACTCAGAGTAGCTGCTCAGCCAGCGTTTGGATTTGTACCAAGTCATTTTTTCAAGTCGGGTCTGAGCTGTGGTCTCTGTGCAGTGAGCTCAGCTTCCGTCTTAGAGTCAGAGTGCGGTGACTTTTGACAAACTTGTATAGTCACGTGACGTCCACCGCAATCACGAGGTGGGTCACTTGCGTTACCCCAGATGGGTCATGCCCGGCCTCTCGCCCTGCCTCTGCCGGCCGCTGTCCCTAGAGTTCGCCCCTTCCAGAATTCTCGCAGCACGTAGCCTTGGAGTCCATTCCCCGAGAGGGGACAGCAGGCAGGGAGGAAATCTCCGCCGTCCCCACGGGGGGACCAGCACTGTGCCGAGGGCGCGGTGCCCGGCTAAGGCTCTCGTCCCTTCCAGTACCTGCTCTCCCGGGAGACCATGGAGGCCCTGCGCACGCCCGCCTTCGACGTCTGGCTGTGGGAGCCCAACGAGGTGAGCGGAGCCCCGAGGGGCGTCCCCGTCCCCCGCCCCTCGCCCCTCTCCTCTCCGTTCTCTCCGGTTTTTAACTCGATTCTCCAGGTCTTAGTTAAACTGGCTCGGGGGGCTCTGGAGACAGAACGCGGAACGGGGCGTCGGGCAGAGGGCGGGCAGTGAGTGCAAGGTCCTCGGACCCTGGGCCCTGCTGGGCAGCTGTCACCCCACCAGCACCCTCTGCTGAGAACCGTAGCGAGTCCCCGGGGCCGCTGCTGCCACCGCCCCACGCCGTGGAGCTGAATGTCCCCGAGGTCCGGCTTCCGTGGGGAGCCGCACTTTGAGAAGGCTGCGGGCACAGGCTCCACGTGGCCCCACACGCGGCTGCGGGCCTGCGAGGCCTCCTTATAGCAAGCTGATCTTTGAAATTCCCGTTTTGCTGAGAAAACACAAAAATGGAGATTTGTGTTTGGACTGGTCACCGATCGTCTCAGTCACACTGTCTGTCCGAACCCCGCGTAACCGAGAAGCCCCTCATCGTGGACGCCACGCTTCCGAAGTCTGTGGGCTCTTTCCAGCTTTTCGGAAACAGGCACGCAGCAAGGCCACCCCCAGCGAGCTCCCCGCCTGGACGAGGGCAGCAGGGGCGACACCCCCCAGGTGGCAGGAGGCGGGATGGTGTACGCCGAGCGCGGGGCCTGCAGCCTCCTGAGCGGACTGTCTGTTCATTCACACGCGCTCGCACAGCCAAGGAGAAGCCTCGGGGACACTGACCAGAAACAAGCGGATCCCCTCTCCGCCCCACCCCGGCCACCCCGAGAAGAGCCGGGCTGTGTCCGAGGGACTGTCCTGCAGCCAGCATCGGACCGATGACACAACGTCCGGCCACCAAGCGGCACAGATGTCGGAGCAGGAGGCATCTTAAATGTGCAGACCTCGCCTGCAGGTCCGTGCACGGTTGGAAGGGACCAGGCTGTGGGACACAGTGTGGCCTTGAGGGCCGAGCAGTAGGTCTCAGAAGTGTGAGGACATTGGGTCTCAACGGCTCCCACTGCACAGGGGACCCAGGCCGGCCTGTCCACCGGCACGTGGACAGACGCAACGAGGTGGCTCCAACGTGCAGCTTCCCGCTTCCGACAGGTGAACAAGCACCACTACTGGAGACACCCAGGAAACTCACGCTCCCCAGAGCCGTTTTGACTTCAGCCCCCAGGAGCAGGAGCAAAGCCCCTGATGACCAAGCAGCTACGTGGGAACGGACACTCGCTGCCCTTCCTGCGTCCCCTGAGCAGGAACAGAGAGGAGAGGGACGAGGGGCAGGAGCATGGTGTGGCCCGGGAGGGAGCGTGCCCTGACGTTGCAAGGCTGAGGTTCGCACACCCACGCTGAGGAGGCCGCCTCCCTGTACGTGGGGTGTGGCCACCTGCCGGCCCGGGGCCTCTGCCGGCGCATCTCAGCAGCACCGAGAAACCCGTGAGGGGTTCTGGTACTGCCCGAGGTGACAGACCACAGATGCCCAACGTCAGGACCCCATCAGAACCCCACGGTCCAGCCACCTGCCTGGGACCCGCTGAGGCGTCTGCACTGCCAGCGTGGGGACAGATGCACAGACGTGTCACTTCTGCTTGGAGCCAAAGTGACACCAGATGGTCTTGTTTGCTGATCCAGCTCTCGACTCTGGTTTCACGCCGACATCTCACGCAGGCCACCGGGCGGCCTGGAGCACGGCCAGGCCGGCGGGGCGGGGAGCGAGGGCGTCGGGCTGCGGCCCCTCCGATCCTGAGCCTGCTGCGCCCGAGCAGGCAGCGGGGCGGCTGGCAGACGAGGTGGAGGCAGGAGGCGGGCGCAGGCCAGCGGCCCCGGGCGGGGAGCACTCGCCGCTGTCACACTGTGCGCCCCCAGGCGACGTCCGAATTGCCCCTGCCTTGCAGATCTCATCTCCCTGGGCTCTGCATCCAAGACCTGCTTCCCCAGAAAGCAAAGCCTGCTTTGTCAAACTCTCGTTTATTAAAAACCATTTAATTTTTCCTCCCTAGCTTAATTAGCTCCAAAGCTCTGAGCGACACTTAAATAGATCACAACAGTGACAATAAATCCTCCTTGGGACTGAAAACAAACTCTATTTCAGCTTGAGCAAGAAATTCTTTAAAAGGCACTCAGCAAGGTCAGGTTTGGAGGGGACACTTCCCCAGAACAGGTTCACCCCCCAGTCACCACAATTAGCACGTTAAACAGCATCTCCGGTCCTGGCAGGCCCCAGAGGAATATGGGGTAGTGTAGTGTGTTTGGGGCGTAAATCGCCAGAGCCCATTGCCCCGGGCTCAGGCAGGGAAAGGAGGGGCCTTTCTGCGTGTGAGGCCACGCCCAGGTCTGCGTGAGAGGGACCCGAGCCCCCGGAACTCACACCGGCACTGACCCGCGGTGACTGTCTCGGGTGCGAAAATGAACGAAGCCTTCCCGGAGCACGCCCCTCAGCCCCTGGCGTAGAACCCCGTTGGCTTCTGAACCCCGACTGCGCTTTCAAAGCCCCACATCCTTGTTGGGGGGTGCCGACCCCCCAGTCAACAGGCTCTGCTCCCAGGGGCCCCCGGGAGGGGAGGGCTCACCTGGAGAAGCTGCTGGGCTGGCCCCGTGGGCCTCTGCGGGGACGGCGGCCGCTGGCCGTGGGCGGGGGCCATGCTCTGCTCCTGTGCCCACAGATGCTGAGCTGCTTAGAGCACATGTACCACGACCTCGGCCTGGTCAGGGACTTCAGCATCAACCCCATCACGCTCAAGAGGTGGCTGGTAAGTGGCCCCTCCCGCCCCTCCCGAGCACACTTTCGTGCACCGCACGGAAGCGGCCACCTGGGCACCTCCCTGATTGTCACCCAGGACCCATGGGAGTTCTCCAGGACACTCGGCCAGGCTCTGTCTGCGTCCCCAGCACACACCCCACCCCTAGGCTCCTGCTCTGCTGAGCGAGAAGGTGGAGGACCAGGAAGGGAGCAGGGCAGCAGCGCCAGCGTGTGTGCGCGCGTGCACATGCGTGTGCTAGTGTGTGCATGCTAGTGTGCACATGTGTACTAGTGTGTGTGCATGCTAGTGT